TATTTGTATAAGTATGAGACAATCAGAGGGATCTTTAATGATATTATACAATTTGTCACTTGTTTATTATTATTTAATTTTAAGGGGGAAAAATCTGTGATTTACAAAAAAATACATCAAAATAATCTAAAAGTATAGAATATGTATACAACGATTTTGAGTGTCAGAACGTATCGAACCAGCAATGGTGCTTTCTCACACATTCTCACCTGAACCACAAGATTACCATACACTTACTTTTTGGACAAACAGGGTAAGGATATCCCCTCTTTTTCTTCTTATAAATATCTGTAGCAGTCTCTTTAAATGGTCTGAATATGCTTTCGGATTGTTTACTGTTATAAGGTTGATCAAAATAGCTTGAACGATCAGTACTTTCATCTTTCAAAGTCTGTAAGTCACAATGTGTAGTCAAAGACAAAAGTTCACTCTTCGTTTTAAACTGCTCAAATGCTTCCTGCTTGATATCACTGACGCCCATGTACAAATCTGTCTCTTTAATCTCACGACCATTACATTCTTCTTTAATGATATGGATATTTTCCAAGAATTCGCAATAGCGCACAGAATCATGATCAATTTTAGACTCTTCAAATTGAATAATTTCTTGTTTTATTTCATCAACATGTGGATCAAAAGATTCTTGTTTCGCGTCTTTTACCTCCATCGTTTTAACAGAACAGCCTTTGGCCTTATTTATCTATAGAACCGCCGAGCATATCCATCTCCCAAAGTTTAAAGATGAAAGGTTACTTTTTACTTTTTTCTATGGGTTATTCTTTACTTTTAACTTTTACTATTTTGGTGCGAGTAAAATAAACAAAAATAGAAACTCAGAATCAATTTTGTTTGGTTATGTTATTCTTCTTTAACTTCATGGCCTTCACCGATATACGTATTTGTAAAAAGTTCTAACGTCACAGAAAATAAGATAAGTTTTATTAATATGAAAATATAGGTTTCACATATTCTTTTTGGCATAACTATTCTTATAATTACTGTTTTAATTTCGGATGGCAGCCTTAAATTCAAACATAATATTTTTTAATTCGGTCGAGTGGGTACTAATTAACAGTGCTCTTCTTAAAGTGGCGCTGGGAAACAGTAACAAAGCCTACACAGAACACGAGGCTAATAACCGTAGCAGTTGATGCCGATGACACAAAAAAAAATAGAAACATACGTGTGGCACTCGGGGACTGCCGCGGTAAAGCTATTGCATAGTATTTTTTATCAACTTATGCAATTATAATTATTTATTTATTTTATTTATGCAGTATTTTGTTCTTTGATATTAATTCAAGTTACACTTTTTGAGCGTGGTGACCGATAAGAAAACAATTTTTTTTCTTTTATTGAATAAATGAGAAGTTAATATTGTTTAAAATATTTTTATTATCTTACAATACATGTAGGTTATTCAGGAATTTTTATCATTGAAACTATAGGTTTATGGTAACTGAAATAAGAATGTAAGAATAGCCTTAGGCTAAATCTCGCCCAGGCAAATGTACATTTCTACATATTTTTGTATTTTTGGTATGTACAAATAAAGGCCATTTATTATTATTATTATTATTATTAAGAAACTTAAGTTTGAGACTTGATATCCTCTAAATATCTGAAAATTTTTGTTGTGGATTCTCGTGGATCATTATTCATTTTCAAATTCAATTTTTCCGAAATTGGGTCCTATGATTGAACGTTTACGTTATCCGTAACGTACATGTTAGGCCGAATTTTAAAAGTAACGAGGCAAGTTCGTATGATGGAAACCTGTTAAATTAGAACATAACAGGCGGAAAATAACAGTAATGTGTTATGAAAGACTTTACATCATACGAATTTGTCTCTTTGCTGTTAAAACTCGGCCTAACATGTACGTTACGGATAACGTAAATGTTCAATCATAGGACCCATTGTGTCTAAACGAGATCAGTTATGAGCAGTTAGCAGCTAGTCTACACGCATACGTCTAGTCGCAGAGTCGCACGCATACAAACATCGTGCCGAAGTCTGCCGAATTGAAACGACGTTAGACGATGCACAGAATTTCTTTTTCGATTTTTCTATTTTTGGCATAGGAATCAAAATGGCCGCGCCCTATGTTGGGCGTATCGGACCTCACTGTTGCTCCGTATAGTAATCAAAGTATGTGGTGTCAGTGAATATTATTTTTGGAGTCACAGTTTATTGCTAAAGAATAAATTAGCTGATTCTTTCGCAATAAACTGTGACTCCAAAATTAATATTCACTGACACTGACAGCAGCAAGCAAAATATCAGGTGCGTTTTAATTATCCGCTTCTGCTTCCGGAATTGTCGGTTTAGTTGTTTTAACCTGTCAGATTAAACAAGAAAACCGACAATTCCGAAGCAGAAGCGAATGATTAAAACGCACCTATTAAAAATATTGCGCCAAGATGTAGGCAAAACGTAATAAGGGATCAAAATGGCGGAGTTTTCTATCTCCTTTTAAAAGGCACTCAGAAAGCTGCGCAGTGCGACCATTCTCCGTATAGTAAAAGAAAATCAAAGTATGTGGTTAGCTTACTCGGACCAGTTGAAAGTTCCAAAATAACAACCACTCCAGGGATACAAATTCAGGATACGTAGAAGACTGCTGTTTTATTATAGGCGGTTGTCATATATTGTATTATCCGAGTTACGCAGTGTATAAACTAGAACATTGAGATCAAAAGTGCCGACGCAGAGTGAGCGATCTGATTCTTTAGCTGTAAACTGTGTCACAGGGTTCAAAATGGCCGCGCCCTATGTTGGGCGTGTCGGACCTCTCTCTTGCAGCGTATAGTAATCAAAGTATGTGCATTTATCCTACAAATAACTTATCTGCCTCTACCCACCTATTTAAAAGACGTACATATTCGCTCCGTGCGAAGTCATGGAAAGGGAAGCAAAAGCGATACTAGCGCTAGCTGCGGATAATTCGTGCATTTTAGGGCGATATTTTGTAATTTTGGCATATCAAATACATGTATACATTTTACTTTTTTTTTTAAAAGTAGGTAAAAACAACACAATAAGCAACCGGAGTTGCTGTGTTGAAAATTGTACAAATACTAGCAAAAAAAACAGTTAAACTTATATAAAAAATTTCACTAGCAAAGTGGAAATTAAATCAAAGAAATAAATGGATAGGTGTACAATAAGAAGAAAAATTACCTTTATTTTTGTGATAATAACAGTAATGCTGGAAATAGAAGACATCAGAAACTTGAAAGGTTTTAAATAAACAATAAATTATCATTTTACTATGTTCTCTAATTAATATCCCTTTATTCTTAAATGTTCATTCAGCAAGGACTAGATTTCAAGATTTCGCCTTTGATTATTATGTGTGGCCGGACTGCAATTTTGAGACTTACTGATGGGAAACCAGTTTTAATCATTTATTCTGTTTTCTTTAAAACAAAAATGAAAATATAAATAACGATTTTTTTTATACATTTTAACTTCACGCTATTTTTAAATGGTATTTTTTATTTTGACAGGCTAATTCTTCAATGACAACTTATTAGACTTAGGCAACTTCTCATACATTTTCCAGTAAATACTGTTGCCTGCCTATATTTTATTGATTTTTATTGATTATACATAATTTTCTTTAATTTAAGCGGGAAAAATATATAATAACAATAAATTAATGTTTTACTTGTTTTACAAATCCATATACTTTACTTAAAACTAACATATATACTTTTTATTTACGAATTCTATTAAAAATTCTATTTGTCAGTATAGGCAGAAGTAGTCCTTTAATACCAAAACAAATTGGCGCTGCTGTCGCGCACGGAGCGAATAGCTATTTATACAGCCCTAGGTATAGTAAAAACTGATAGCGTTTTCCATTGGCATTGGATATGTGCACTGAGTATATTTGTGTCCTTGTTTATCTATATGAAAAAGAAGAAAGTGAAAATACACTCAAAACGCACTGAGCATGCCAATGGAAAACGCCATAAACATATTGCCTGTAAAGTGCATAGGGCACCAGTATGAATAGCGATTACACCACATTCCTTTGTATATGTTATACCATGTATGTAACAGTCTCTCTCTCTCTCTCTCTCTCTTATTTCCCTCTGACATTTTGTTCTCGAAGATCCAACGTGAATAAAATTCTGATTGGGGTGTAGAGAGCAGGTAAACTGCATTTCAACTTTTGATTCTGATTATACACCTATTTAAAAAAACGTATTTTTTTAAATCAACCCTTTCGCCGACGCAAAAAATGCTTACAATTTCATCTTAGAATTGGAAAAAAACGCGTTTGAGTCAATTTCATTGAAACATATATATCTGGCCAAAAGGCCATCTATATGCAAGTTTAGTTTGAACCTCACATGTTACATGATCGCTTTCACTACCGGGACATAATACATGTTGTTCACTCTTCTCCCCTGAACTACAAAAAGCGAACAATAATTATGACGCGCGACTTTTTGCACTCGATGAGGGACAATTCAATACAAGCCTAGAAACAATAATTGGCTTTAAGAGCAAATCGGACACCTAAAATTTCGTTTGAACCTTTATGTTTATTTCGCTTTTTGAGAAATTTTCAGGAAATACCAACAACAAAACTTAGGACGGAGAAATCTTGAATTTTTTGTAAACCTTCGAAAACAATTTATTTTGAAAATTTATAAAAGGGGTTTCAAAAATAAATATTTATGCGCCATTCTGTATTAAATTTATGAAAATTTGCAACTTTTGTCTCAATAAATATCTAATAGTTGTTAAATAGGAGGATTTCCCATCTTTGCACAAATTTAAAGCTCTCAATATTCAAGAAACATAATTTCACGAAGTATTTCCAGTAGTGTGCATATAAACACAATTTTATATTAAAAAATCCTCAAAATATTTTTGTCTTCACAAGAAGTCCATTATGCTCTTAACCCATTTTGAAGTAACCGTTTAATAGAATGGTAACAGATCATTTGGAATGACCCTTGTTATGCAGAGAAGAAGAGGTCACATTGACTTGACTGTCACGTTGAGGTTATGTCAGAGTTCTAAATGAATTTTTAAATGATACAAAAAATTATTCAAATAATTAATAATGGCAAAGTATATAGCTCAGCTAATCATAGCAGGATCTCAAGTGATAGGTAGAGCTTTTGCGAGAGCAGTAAAACAAGAAATAGAAGCTTCTCAACAAGCAGCTCAGAGGTTAGGAAATGCTAAAACTCGAACTGAAAGAATAGCAAATCAAAAATTAGGTCTATCTCTAGAAGAAGCTAAACAAATTTTAAATATTAGAAATCTTACAAAAGAAGAAATAGAAGAAAAGTATCAGTCTCTTTTTAAAGCTAATGAAAAAACTTCATTATACCTCCAATCGAAGATTGTACGAGCTAAAGAAAGACTAGATCATGAAATACTATCAGGACCACAAACTGAAAAGACACAAAGCTCGGAAAGTCCTAAAACTTAGAATTTATTTGAATTAGTATAATTGTAGGTTATATTTTACCTTTAATTTTTGTTGTACATTTGTGATTAAAACGAAAAGGTTAAACATTAACATTTATTTACACTACCTCAGAATGAGTTCACCTGATTTTTACAGACAATATTAACAAAATTTTAAGTGTATGGAATGAAAATCAAATAAGTAAAGAAACATTTAGAAATAAACATTTAAACTTATATTTTAGTTTCTTGATAAGAACAAAAAAAGGATAATGTCAATATCCAGTTTCTCTTAATATAAGAAAATTTAACATTAAAGGCATTAAATGGAACTCGAGTATTTTTTCCAAACTTTGGCTTATTGGGTTTTTGCTCCATACCCTCAATATGAATGAATATATTTAAAAGTAGGTACTACAAAAAATATTTTATTGTCTAATTATAGAGGAGGCATCTTGAACTTCTTTGGACTTGTGTGTTCCATCACAAAATGGGCGATTCTTTGTTTGTTTACAGTTGCAAATCCAGTATTCTTTAGATTCTTCTACTTCAAATCTTACAGGCCTAAAAAATACAAAAAAAAAACATTAAATCTGTTTTTCATTAATTTTGTAAGAGTCATAAAAACCTCCGATTCTCTGATATACCTACACATAAAATGAAAGAATGTCATTCAATCATGCTCAAAGGAAATATCTGAAAAGTAATTTCATGAACTAATGTTTATTAGATTTTTATTTTGTTTTATACATTTTTATTTTTGTACAAAAAAAAATTGAATTTCAGATATTTCTAGTGCCTTTTTTTACAAGGTAGGTTATTTGTTTTCATCAAAATATCTAAAACATCAGAGCAATTTTGAAAAAGGAATACCTAGCTATGAATATTTTTTATGGAGTAGAGTATGAATCTTTGATTTTTATTATTGAGTAATTATTGAACTAATTAAGTAGTATAAATGTAATGATGACCAACCTTACTAAAATTGAAAAAGATATTTCATTAAAAATAATTGACTTCTCTAATTTATTATTGGATAATCATGTATGTTTTAAAATATGTTTTTTAGAACTTTGATTTTGAACACTACTGACATGATAATCTCTATTCAACCAAAATTAAATTTTACAATTTTATAGAACTAAGGCAATAGTTACTTGCCAAATAAAATCTTTTTATTCGAATGTGCTGCAAAATACTTTTATGATCCAGGCCAAAGAAATCAAGCGCCTCAGATTTTTAAACTTTCTTTTTTATTTTGCACATCAAATTTGAATACAGGAATTTTTAATTGACTAAGAAAAAACTAAATAAATCACATTATAATCATGGTGTCAAGATTAAAGTTGACTAAGGTGAGACACAGGTTTTGTGACTGAAAATGTATTTACATGAAATTAAAAACTGTTAAATCACATAAAGTTATGTTCACTAATACAAGAAAACTCACTGGACCTTTGTAGAAAGGGAAGGCCAAATAAACATTTTATGCTTTTTTATATACCAAAATTAATTAATTTCCAGTTTAGATGTGTTACATGAGTAGGTAATTCTGTTGGGGTAATTAAGATAGCTTATTAATGTAAAAGGTATCTCTGAAACTGCATCCTTCAACCTCCAAACTGGAAGACGAAGTCACATCTAAGATTTTAAATCTTTCTGAGTATTGCTATTAGATTAGTTGAGAAAAATGTTAGGGGCAAAATGATTAGAACATAATATTTCATGGACATCACCTGTGTGACCATTATTATTATTATTTAATCACAAACTCCTGGGACAAAAAATAAGATGGTTTGGCCCAACTTAATAATAGGGGAGCCCAAGCGGGGATTTCGGGATTTACTAAAGCGCGGCAGATTAATATACAGGGGGATACCTTGTACCCGGTCAAGTGCCTCCACCAAACATCAGCTCTATATATAAGGCCGCCCGTGAAGGATAAAGGATCAGATTAATAAAAAAAATTGATCATCAGAAATTCTCGAGCGCGTCAGATTAAGGTAGGGTGAGTTAATTACATGCTAAAAGGTGTATATTCCACTAATCTGACAATTTGAGAGTGACGTAAAGAAAGGGGAGGGCAGCAAAGTTGTAAAAAAAAGATGTCATCTCGACATTCTCGAGCTAATTTTTTTTTTATTTTGAAGGAAATAATTTAAGGATAACGAAAAATATTTAATCTGACGATTTCCGCAAGCTGAAATAACAAAAATTCCTCGATAAAGTTTAATGCATGCAGCTGCGTAATGCCTACATTTCCCTCTCCGCGTTTCTACTATTACTATCAGATCTTCTGATACTGACATAGTGGTCATCATGTTAGCGAATATGGAACACCTGCATGCAAGAGTAGAAGTTTGGATAGATCTTGGAGTTGGCAATGCATGCCGATTCAACGACGGATCCGCTCTCTACAAAAAATTAGGCCCAAAAATTTCGGAGGCGCTTCCAGCTTTGCATGCTTTCACTGGTTGCGATTTCAACCCAGCATTGTACCGACGAGGGAAAAAACCTTTGCAATTTCTGATGAATTCAGAAATTTTCCAAGCATTTCTGGATTTGGGATCAAAGTAGCATAATGTGCAGGATTCTTTTAACATCATACAGTCTTTTACTTGCCATTTGTATGGGTTGAAAACAGACGATGTCAATCAAGCCAGGATTGTCATTTTCAAAAAGACGTACAAGGTAAAAGACAAATCACAACCCTTCTCCTTGAGTGTCCGGAATTACGATACGTGCAACTTGCCACCCTGTGAATCGGAGTTACTCCAGCAAGTGTTACGCACAAGATGCATTGTATGCTTGTGGAGTAATGCCCATAATGCAAAAATTATTGATCTTTTACCAACGGACTATGGATGGAAAGTTGTCGACGGAAAATTCAAAATGATCAATTGCCGAAAGCATACGAAGATGTAGTCATGACACCTCATATTCTTGAGGATACTCCAGAATCAGGTATTTCTTTTCTCTAGTAATTAAAAAAACAAGTTATACATAAAAAAAATATTGTTAAATATTTTAATGATGAAATCGAGCCAGAAGGGGAAGATGATTCTACTGATGAAGATGATGATTAATTAATCAATTAAATTTTTTGAGCATTTTTTAAAATTATTTTCTTATAAATACAAGTAGTATTCTACTTAAAGCACTTTTTTATTTGCATGTTATTTCCTGAGCTTTTCAATTAATTAGGTTCAATGATTTAAAAAATATTTTTTTTTGTCAGATTAGGCGAATCCCTCTAGATAATCGTCAGATTATGAGACAGCACATCTAGGACATAAAGATGAACTATATATATCTTAATCTGACGCGCTTGAGTATTTCAAAATGACGAATTTTTTTTGCACATTATAATAATGGCCGCGAGTTAGCGTCACATCGAAATCGTCAGATTATTGAATGAGAGCTTTTTTTTGGTTCACTTAACACCCCCTTAGAAAATCTGACGCGCTCGATTAATTTTTTTTTTTCATTTTCAACCCTTACGTAAAACCACCCGCATCATGCAAACGATCAGATTAACATAGGCACGTTATTAAAAATACGTAGGACATTGATGCTATCAATATCTGACGCGCTCGAGTATGTCCATGCAACAGTATTTTTTTACATATTTAAAAATCTGTAGCCGCTTCCCCCACCGATGAAAAGGCATATATTATATGACATTTTTTTCTTCTTATCATCTAAGCTTTGCAACCCAATAGGTCTCTATGACGCTCGAGTAAATCTCCATTTAGCATCGTGGGCTCCCCTATTATAACCTATATCCAAAACCGTTTGGTTATAAGCCATTAAAATAAAAATAAAAAAAAGAGTCTTCTGTGATTAATTGTTATAATTTTTGGTATGGTATGTTCTGTGACTAAGTCACGTTTCGGGATGGTTTTGGTCTTCATCAGTGAGTTGAAAATATATTAAATGAAAATATGCCAATATAAATTTCCTTAGACCATGAATAATTTATGGTCTAAGGAAATTATAAAATAAATTAATTTGACATAAGCAATCTGACATACAGCAATTATCAAGAATATACTCGTAGGTCACAGCCATCTCAGCCATAAGAAGAATTAGAAATAACATTTCAGAATTAAAATTCCATATTGTTAAAACTGAATCACATTTTTATTTTGTAATATTCAGTACGTATTTTGTTAACTTGATTGTTTTGATTGTATTTGTCAATATATAGGTATGTTTTTCAAAAAAAAAAGTCAAATCGATTTTTTAATATCTGGTTTTTTATAAGTTTTACTGTTTCTTGTTCTATTCCATATTTGGATCATTTTTGAAAATATATTTGGACGGTTAGTTCATCTTGTATTTTACATTATTAGAGACCCTGGCGAGATATTTATCACTCCAATTCCATGGTAGTTATTTCACTCTTGTCTATGGATGCAAGTATTCAGAATTTGTGGAACCTAGACGTTTTAGGTATAGTTTCTCCAGAGGATAGTATGTCCATGCAAGATAAGGAGCAAGTGATGTGGGAACAATTTGTAAATAATATTAAGATCAACGGTGAAGGTAGGTACGAAGTTGGTTTGTGTTGGGGAAATGATCATCCACCTCTGCCTTTCAATTATAGTATGGCTAAAACGCGTTTAGACAATTTAATGTTAAAATTAAAGAAATATGGAATGGTTTCTAGGGTATGGTTACGAAAAGATTAGTTTTATCAATAGCTCACCGTTTATTTGACCCTATTGGTTTTTCGTGCCCCGTTCAACTTGTTCCTCGAATTCTTTACAGAAAACTTGGGTTCAGAAAATAGGCTGGGATGTTGAGGTACCTGATGACATTAAGAAGAAGACTGGGTTGGAGATTTAAATATTTTGGCTCTTTTAGAAATTCCCAGATGGGTTTTAAAAAATCCAGTTTCTGGCTTAATTCATCAGAGTTTTCATTTATTTTGTGATGCGAGTCAGCAGGCTTATGGATCAGTAGTGTTTTTAAGGACAGATTCGGCTAGTGGAGTCGTTGTAGAGTTGGTTGCGGCAAAGAATCGTGTTTGTCCTATCAAGAAATTGAGTATTTGTAGACTGGAGTTGTTGTTAGCGGTTACTCTTGGTTCGAGGTTGCTGAGTTTTGTTTTAAAAAATTTGCCTTTTGGGGAAGTTGATGTTAATTGTTGAACCGATTCAATTACTGTTCTATCCGGGATTGGTAGAGAAGATATGTAGAAACCATTCGTTTGGAATAGGGTAAAAGAAATACGTACTCTCACCAGAAAGGAAGATTGGTATCATGTTGCAAGGGAGTTTGAATCTTGCCGATCTTGTTTCGAGAGGTTCTTCTCCTAAAAAGCTTGTACAATCTTCTTGGTGGGAGGGACCGAATTGGTTATTGAATGTTTCCAAGTGGCCTCTGCAGAAGTATATAGTTGAGGAAGAATTAGTATCTAAGGAAAAAAGGAACACCCTTTCTTCATTATTGATTGCTGGAGTTGATTATTCAGTATTTTTCAAATATTTTTCTAGGTATTCACAGATCGTGAATCTTTTAGGCTGGATAAGAAGGTTTATGTATAAACAAGAATAAGA